CCAACGTTTCTCTCTGAAAATCATAGTTAAGTTTGGAGCACGGCCACAGTCCCAGAAACACAAGGACTTAATGCATAACCCAGCAGCTTGAAGCAGAAAAGTGAACGGGCTATGCATTAATCCAGGCCATCATGTCTGTCCGGAGGGGAAAGGGTGTTGCCCCGTTCGCCCTCTCCTCTCTGGAAAGAAAGATGGCGGCCACATGGGAGCCTTGTGGACAGCAGGCATGAGCCGGGGGAGTGGGGGCGACTAAAACCTCATGGGAAGGGGGGCGTTCCGGTCCGTCCTTCACACCCTACCGAGGTCACCAGTTGCCCCCCACGAGCGGCTCTCCAGCACGGCCACAGCCCCAGAAGCACAAGGACTTAATGCAGAACCCAGCAGCTTGGAGCAGAAAAGTGAAAGGACTATGCGTTAATCCAGGCCATCAAGTCTGCCAGAGGGGAAAGGGTGTTGCCCCATTCGCCCTCTCTTCTCTGGAAAGAAGGATGGTGGCCGCATGGGAGCCTTGTGAACAGCAGGTATGAGCCAGGGGTGTGGGAGCGACTAAAACCTTATGGGAAGGGGGGCGTTCCAGTCCGTCCTTCACGCCCTACCGAGGTCACCAGTTGCCCCCCACGAGCGGCTCTCCAGCATGGCCACAGCCCCAGAAGCACAAGGACTTAATGCAGAACCCAGCAGCTTGGAGCAGAAAAGTGAAAGGACTATGCGTTAATCCAGGCCATCATGTCTGCCCGGAGGGGAAAGGGTGTTGCCGCAGTCGCCTTCTCCTCTCTGGAAAGAAAGATGGCGGCCGCATGGGAGCCTTGTGGACAGCAGGTATGAGCCGGGGGAGTCGGGGCAACTAAAACCTCATGGGAAGAGGGGCGTTTCGGTCCGCCCTTCACGCCCTACCGAGGTCACCAGTTGCCCCCCATGAGCGGCTCTCCAGCACGGCCACAGCCCCAGAAGCACAAGGACTTAATTCAGAACCCAGCAGCTTGGAGCAGAAAAGTGAAAGGACTATGCGTTAATCCAGGCCATCATGTCTGCCCGGAGGGGAAAGGGTGTTGGTCCCTTCCGCCCTCCTCCCTCTGGAAAGAAAGATGGCGGCCACATGGGAGCCTTGTGGACAGCAGGTATGAGCCGGGGGTGTGGGGGCAACTAAAACCTCATGGGAAGGGGGGCGTTCCGGTCCGTCCTTCACACCCTACCGAGTGCACCAGTTGCCCCCCACGAGTGACTCTCCAGCACGGCCACGGCCCCAGAAGCACAAGGACTTAATGCACAACCCGGCAGCTTGGAGCAGAAAAGTGAAAGGACTATGCGTTAATCCAGGCCATCAAGTCTGCCGGAGGGGAAAGGGTGTTTGTCCCTTCCACCCTCCTCCCTCTGGAAAGAAAGGTGGCGGCCGCATGGGAGCCTTGTGGACAGCAGGTATGAGCCGGGGGAGTGGGGGCGACTAAAACCTCATGGGAAGGGGGGCGTTTCGGTCCGCCCTTCACGCCCTACCGAGGCCACCAGTTGCCCCCCACTAGCGGCACTCCAGCACGGCCACGACTCCAGAGCACAGAAACCAATTTCTTAACTATCTGACTTTCAGTAGAAATACTTCCAGGGTCAATAAGTAAAATAGCAGAAATCCAAAACCAACATTTAATTCTTGAACCCAGCTGTAGAAAGCAAATCAATTCACAATGCTTTTTCAGCATGTCTGATTTGGGGGGGGGGGTAAACTCTAAATAATAGTGGTGAATCTTTTATTGAAACAATGAATCTAATCAAAGCAGATAGAGTGTTAACTAGAATTCATCTGCCCCACAGGGACTGGGAGGGGTGGGGGGTGGGGTTTTATTGGGGTTCTTCATGGTAAAAAATAAGTATTGGTAAAGGGAAATGTGTTTGATATTTGCATGACTGAGACCTAAACCTGAAAGCTTTGTAACCTTTCCCACGGTGATTCAATAAATAAATAAATAAATTTAAAAAAAACAAATAGAAAAAAATAAGCTTCTAGCAAGACTCACAAAGAAAGGAAGAGAGAAAACCCTAATAAACTGGATCAGAAATGAAAAGGGGGACATCAAAAGAGAAACTACAGAAATTCAAAGTATTCTCAGGGACTACTTTGAGAAGCTTTATACCACGGAAGTAGAAAACCTTGAGGAAATGGATAAATTTCTGGATTCCTATAGACTCCCAAGGCTGAACCTAGAAGACCTGGAATACCTGAATAGACCTATCACCATCCAGGAAATTGAAACGGTAATAAAAATCTCCCCGAGCACAAAAGTCCTGACCCAGATGGATTCACTAGTGAATTCTTCCAAATCTTTAAAGAGGACTTACTCCCAATCCTCTTTAAGCTTTTCCATGAAATTGAAGTATCAAAAACACTTCTGAACAGTTTCTATGAAGCAAATATCACCCTGATACCAAAAGCTGACAGAGATATAACGAAGAAAGAGAATTACGGACCAATATCCCTAATGAACACAGAAGCAGATCCTCAACAAAATATTAGCAAATAGAATCCAACGACTCATCACAAAGATCATACTCCTTGACCAGGTAGGATTCATCCCAGGGATGCAAGGATGGTTTAACATTCACAAGTCGATCAACATAATCCATCATATGAACAAAAGAAAAAATAAAAACAATATGATCAAATCAATAGACACAGAGAAAGCATTTGACAAGATCCAGCACCCATTTATGATAAAAATTATCAGCAAAATGGGCATTGAAGGAACATTCCTCAATATAGTCAAAGCCATTTACCACAAGCCCACACAAGTACCATTCTCAATGGGGAAAAACTAAAAGCCTTCCCTCTAAGATCCGGCACAAGGCAAGGTTGCCCACTTTCGCCACTCCTATACAATATAATACTGGTAGTCCTGACCATTGCAGTCAGACAAGAGAAAGGTATCAAGGGCACACAGATAGGAAAGGAATAGGTCAAGCTATCACTATTTGCAGACAATATGATACTATACTTAGAAAAACATAAAGACTCTACAGAAAAGCTCCTAGAAACAATAGGTCAGTTTAGTAGGACTACAATATCAACTCCCAAAGTACATGGATTTCGGCAGACTACAAAATCAACAGACAAAAGTCCATGGCTTTCTTATATTCAAATAACAAAAGAGAAGAAAGAGACATTAAAAAATAATCTCGTTCAAAATGGTACCTCTGAATATCAAGTACCTCAGAATTATCTTAACCAAAGAGGCGAAAGACCTGTCACTGTCACTGTTACTCTTCTCCCATTGTTTATTGATTTGCTCGAGCGGGCCCAGTAACATTGTGAGACTTGTAACAGTGTTTGGTATATTGAATATGTTATGGGTAGCTGGCCAGGCTTTGCCGTGCATGTGAGATACTCTTGGTAGCTTGCCAGTTTCTCCAAGAGAGGCTTAGGAATTGAATTCGGGTGGCCGTGTCGGCCACATGGAATGCAAAGGCACTACACACAGTGCTATCGCACAAGCCCTATACAAGGAAAATTACAAAACACTACTTCAAGAAATAAAAGAGGCCACTAGGAAATGGAGACACATCCCCTGCTCAGATAGTGAGGATTAACATTATCAAAATGGTAATACTGCCAAAAAGCACTATACAAATATAATGTGGTCCCTATCAGGATATCCATGACATTTTTCAAAGAAATAGACAGAAAATTCCTGAAATTCATGGAACAATAAACTCCCACGAATAACTAAAGCAATCCTTGGGAAAAATAAGATGGGTGGCATAATCCTCCCCAACTTCAAACTGTACTATAAAGCAGTAGTAATTAAAACAGCATGGTACTGGACTAGAAACAGACCTGCAGACCAATGAAACAGAATTGAATATTCTGTCACAGAGCCCCAAATATATGACTACTTAATCTTTGACAAAGGAGCAAGAAATGTGAAGTGAAACAAGGAAAGCGTCTTCAACAAGTGTTGCTGGGAAAGCTGGATAGCTCATTATAAAAAATGAATTCTGACCTCTGTATAATGCCAGGCACAAAAGTCAGATCAAAGTGGATTAAAGACCTCAATATCAGACATGAATCCATAAGGTACATAAAGGAAAATGTAGGCAGAACTCTCCACGACATTGAAGTGAAAATCATCTTTAAGGAGGAAACAGCACTGACCATGCAAGTGAAAGCAAACATAAACAAATGTGACTAAATTAAACTAAGAATCTTCTGCACTTCAAAAGAACCAGTGCCCAAAATACAGAAAGAGCCCACAGAATGGGAAAGAATATTTACCCAATACCCATCTGATAAGGGATTAATATCCAGGATATACAAGATACTACTAGAATTGTATAAGAAAAAATACCTCCACCCCATCAAAAATGGGGAGAATAAATGAACAGAAGTTTCCTCAAAAAAGAAATACAAATGGCAAAAAGGCACATGAAAAAATGCTCCACATCCCTAGCAATCAGGGATATGCAAATCAAAACAACAATGATATATCATCTCACACCACAGAGACTGACACACATTCAAAAGAACAAAAGCAACCAGTGCTGGCATGGATGTAGGGAAAAAGGGACACTCTTTGATTGTTGGTGGGAATGCCCACTAGTCCAGTCTTTCTGGAAATCAATATGGACCGTACTTCAAAAACTAGAAATTGAGCTTCCATGTGACCCCAAAATACCACTTCTGGGAATATATCCTGAGGATGCGAAAAAGCACAGTAGAAATGACATCTGTACCTATATGCTCATTGTAACACTGTTTACAATGGCCAAAATCTGGAAACAACCCAAGTGCCCTAGAACAGATGACTGGTTAAAGAAACTTTGCTACATCTACACAATGGAATACTATGCAACTGTTAGGATAGATGAAGTCATGAAATTTGCTTATAAATGGATAGATATGGAGAGTATCATGCTGAGTGAAAAGACTCAGAGAAGGACAGACATAGAAGGACTGTACTCATTTGTGGAGTATAAAACAACATAACATGAGGCTGACACCTAAGGATAGTAGATACATGGGCCAAGAAGATTGCTGCATATCTGGAAGCCTGCCTAATGAGCAAAGGTGAGAAGGCAGCTGGAATAGAGAATGGATCACTAAGAAAAAGATGACCGGAGGAATTGGTCGGGATGGGAGATGTGTGCTGAAAGTAGATAATGGACCAAACATGATAACCTCCCAGTATCTGCATTGAAAACCATAATTCCCTAAAGTAGAGAGAGAGTATGGGGAATATTGTCTGCTATGGAGGCAGGGGGAGGGTGGGAATTGGGGATATACAAGGGATATTGGTGGTGGGGAATGTGCACTGGAGGAGGGATGGGTATTTGATCATTGAGTGATTGTAATCCAAACATGAAAGCTTGTAACTATCTCATGGTTATTCAATAAAATTAAGAAAATAATTTCTATCAGATTGGCTCTAACCCACCCCCTGGAGGATATGGAAGTCGACCTAAGTTAGATAAAACAACAATCACATAAACACTCATGCTTCTGCCATAAGAATGAATATATACCTTGTACCTGGATTTAATACCCTGTTTCACCTTTGGTCCCTGAACTCCACCAAGAGTGATCCCTAAGAGTAGAGTCAGGACTAAGCCCTGAGCACCTGCAAGTGTGGACTCAAAAAACAAATATAAACAAAAAGAAAGAATAAGTACTTAACTCCCTAAAGTAATGTCCATGGTTAAAACAAATTTAAACCGTGTATTAAATTTTCCCTTGAGCCTTCAATACAGCTCTGAATATGAAAGTTGTGTTGGTGACTGGAGGGGGAGTCCCCCTTCTCGACCCCCACAGGAAGAGAGACAGCTTTTATCATTCAGAGTAGGAACTGCTATCAGTATGGTAGCTTAATGATGTTTTATACAATACTCTCCTAGGAATATTATGTCTTCTCTCCAGTCAACTGACCAGCCAGTAAACAACTTTTAACATGGAAGGTACTAAGCAACATGTTTAAGAAACACACACACACACACACACACTCTTTCTCTCTTATCTATCTCTATCTCTCACTGTTTGTGGTGTAATTCTCTTAGAAAAAACAATAAGAAGCTGATTTCAGATGTACTCATTATGCAGATATACCTAAGTATTGCTGCACCATTCACTGAGTGAGCTGTCATTTTCCATTTCCTAAAAAGATCGCTTGAATTTGCTACTACTATTGATTGTGGAGCTTATACCACACTGTCTCTGGGCTTTCTATTGTGTTCTGGAGACCTGGCACCAGAATATTCAAATCACTGTGGCGTTAAACACGTTTTAATATCTGATAGGGCCAGTTTCTGCGCATTGCATTTTTCCCCCTTTCAGGAACACGTTCAAGCCAGCGGCAGGGGGCGGGGTCGCGCCTCCTCCGCGGCTCCGGTTCCAGCCGAGCCCCACGGACGTGAAGATGGAAATCCCAAGGATACTCCCAGCTCGTGGGTCTCGACAGGGCAGCGGCGCTGGCAGCCCCTCGGGTGGCGGCCGGGTCCACCGAGGCCCTGACCCGGGAGCTGTACAGGCCCGGGCGCGCCGCCTCCTGCTGCTCGGGAGCCCCCAAGATGGCGGTCCGGGGCGGCGGCGCGAAGAGGCCAGCGCGGCTACACCCGGCTCTGGCCCAAGCCAGTTGGGTCCGCGGAGGCCTGATCACGCTGGCGGCGGCGGCGTCGTCGGCGGCGGCGGCGGCGGCGGCGGCAGCGACGGCGGCGGCGGCGGCAGCGGCGGCGGCGGCGGCAGCGGCGGCGGCAGCGGCGCCAAGGGCAACAGTGGCGGCAACAGTGATGGCGAGGACTTCTTCCTGGTGCTGCTGGACCCGGTGGGTGGCGACATGGAGACAGCGGGTGCAGGCCCGGCCACAGGGTCCATATGGAGGGAGGAAACAGAGCCAGGCCCACAGCCTGAGGCGGGAGATAGCGGCGCGAATCTCGCGGTCCGCCCTGCATTGGGACCTCGCTGCTTGTCTGCAATCCCAGCTCAGGCATTAGCTCCGGCCCCAACCCTGGCCTCGGCCCCGGCCCAGGCCCAGGCCCAGAACGCGGAGGAGGCGGCGATGGCGGCGGCGGCGGCAGCGGCTTCTGCTTCTGCTACTGCTTCTGCTTCTGCTTCTGCAGCCTCCATCCCTGCCCCTAGCCTGGGCCTCACTGCTGCCTTCGCCGGCACCGTCACCATCCACAACCAGGACCTGCTGCTGCACTTTGAGAATGGTGTTCTCACCCTTGCCACGCCCCCGCCTCCTTGCTGGGAGCCTGGGGTCATGCCTGCCCCACAGCCTGGGGTTCTGATAGCTCCACAGGTGGGGGAACCCCAGGCCTCGCAGCCAGTGGACTGCCCTGAGCAACCGCCAGATCTGTTGCTGGCTGAGCCAGTTGAACTAGCACCAGTGCAGGCGCTGGAGCAGGAGGGGGAGGTAGAGGGCCCGCTGACTGATAGCCCCCCTGGGCCACTGGGCTCAGGCCCAGGTGTGGTGCTGTACCTGTGCCCTGAGGTGCAGTGTGGACAAACCTTCACCAAGAAGCACCAACTGAAGGTGCACCTACTGACGCACAGCAGCAGCCAGGGCCAGCGACCCTTCAAGTGCCCCCTGAGCGGCTGTGGCTGGACCTTCACCACCTCCTACAAGCTCAAGAGGCACCTGCAGTCCCATGACAAACTGCGGCCTTTTGGCTGCCCGGCGGAAGGTTGTGGCAAGAGCTTCACCACCATATATAACCTCAAGGCTCACATGAAGGGCCATGAGCAGGAGAACTCCTTCAGATGCGATGTGTGCGAGGATTGTTTCCCCACGCAGGCCAAGCTCAGCGCCCATCAGCGCACCCACTTTGAACCCGAGAGGCCCTACCAGTGTGCGTTTTCTGGCTGCAAGAAGACCTTTATCACAGTGAGTGCCCTGTTTTCCCATAACCGTGCCCATTTTAGGGAACAGGAACTCTTTTCCTGCTCTTTTCCTGGCTGCAGCAAACAGTACGACAAGGCTTGTCGGCTGAAAATTCACCTGCGGAGCCATACCGGTGAGAGACCGTTCCTTTGTGACTTTGATGGCTGTGGCTGGAACTTCACCAGCATGTCCAAACTCTTAAGACACAAAAGGAAGCACGATGATGACCGGAGGTTCATGTGCCCTGTGGAAGGCTGTGGTAAATCTTTCACGAGGGCTGAGCATCTGAAAGGCCACAGCATAACCCACCTGGGCACAAAGCCTTTTGTGTGTCCTGTGGAAGGCTGCTGTGCCAGGTTCTCTGCTCGCAGTAGTCTCTACATTCACTCCAAGAAACACTTGCAAGATGTGGACACTTGGAAAAGCCGTTGCCCAGTCTCCAGCTGTAATAAACTCTTCACATCCAAGCACAGCATGAAGACCCACATGGCCAAAAGGCACAATCTTGGCGAGGATCTCTTAGCTCAGCTGGAAGCTTCAAATTCTCTTACACCTAGCAGTGAACTTATCAGCCAGGGACAGACTGATCTCAGTGATGCAGAGCTAGTGTCCCTTTTCTCTGATGTGCCTGGCAGTAGTTCTGCTGCAGTACTGGACACAGCATTGGTGAACTCTGGAATCTTGACTATTGATGTGGCCTCTGTGAGCTCAACTCTGGCAGGGAACCTCCCTGATAATAGTAATAATAATAATAATAATAATGATGATGATGATGCTTTAGGGCAGACTGTGGACCCTCGGGCCTTGATGGCCACCAGTGACCTTCCTCAAAGTCTGGATACCTCCCTTTTTTTCGGGACAACAGCTGCAGGTTTTCAACAGAGCTCCTTAGAGGTGGATGATGCCTCAAATCTAAGTGCAGGGCCTTTGGGGACTCTGGGCTCTTTGACTATGAAAAACTCCAGTCAGGAACCCCAAGCCCTGACCCCTAGCAGTAAGCTAACAGTAGACACAGATGCTCTGACTCCTTCAAGCACCCTTTGTGAAAACAGTGTCTCAGAACTACTGATGCAAACCAAAGCAGAATGGAACTTACATCCTGACTCTGCCTTCTTTGGACAGGAGGAAGAAACCCAGTTTGCATTCACCAGCCCAGCAGGAAACCACGTTTCTCAGAAAGAAACAGATCTTATCACAGTGACTGGAAGCTCATTTTTGGTATGAACCATTCATTCCTCACCTCTTGTATTAATTGGACTCAATTTTATGGATATCCTGGACCGAAATATCTATGAGAAATGCAGTCATTTTCTCATAGCTTGAAAATGATCAGAGCCCTGGGAAACAAGTTTGGAGATGTAGATTCTGATCTAGTGTTTGGCATTTTTAAGTTGAGTCGGTGACCCTGAGCAAGTCACTTAAATCTTGTCTGAGCCTTAATTTCCTTATTTATAAAATGAGGTGTCTTTGAATAGAGCACTTCTAATCTATAATGTACCTATAGTTTGTGTCTTTCCAGCTCTGTATTTTCACAACTTTGTGCTCTTTCTTTTTTCAAGGATTTTACTTAGGGATTTTACAGTGATTAACTATTGCATGTGCTTCTAATGTAATGAAAAGTGCATTGAAAGGTAATGATAAGAGAACATGGAACAGGTATTTTAAAAAATGGAAATTTTAGCACAATACCAAAAGATTTCTACAATCACTTTGTGGCACTTAAAGAAAGCCAAGAGTAGGGGGACAGTTCTTTTAAACTGATTATCTTTCTAACCTCTGTTTTGATGGAATGTTGTGTGGTTTGGGTGAAAAGTGTCAGGTTTTGATATGACAGACCCAGAGTGAAATATTGATGTTTCTGGTGTAAGTGGCCTTAAGTAAGTTATTTCATCACACTGAGCCTCAGTTCTCAGGCACAATATGCTTTTAGTGACAACAGTCACTGTAATGTAAACATACTTGGTGCATCTTAAGGCAATTTTTTTTCTCTCCCAGTATTTAACTTTTGGAGAGAAAATGTGGTGTTTTAGCATGTTTTGGTGAAATTTTAGTCACCATTCTGTTCTGTCCCTCACTTTCCTAACTCAAAGGGGAGCAAGAGGTATGCTTTAAAATCACACGTGTGCATTTGGTTTAGGAAGCAGTGAAGGTGATCTCGTCCACAGATTATGAAGGATATTTTTTTTCTCTACACAAAGCTTAAGTGAAGGGGCTCACATGTGCACCAGACCAAATTATAATGTCTTTGGTCTGCAGTTAAAGCCAGTCCTAGTGAAACTAATATACAGCCTGGGGTTTCAGGAAAATCTGGAAACGAAAGAGAGTAAGGTTTTTCTTTTCCCTGTGCCCATTTCTCACTGCTTGTCTACTGCCAGAGTTGGAATGAGAGGTTTTGTCTGCATTGTGAGTACATATTTTGTCTCTTCACATGATCAGAACATTTTGCAGTTTCTATGGCACTTTCATAGCTATTACACTTCATCCCCACGGCTTTCAAGATAGTTATGGCAGAGTTTTAGCTATAAACCTTATTAAAATTTAACTCTCTTTTAGGTGAATTTTATTTAGTACGTGCATATGCACACACACACACACACACACACACACACACACACTCATGCATACACAGAAACCCTTGTATAAACAAGGAAAGGTTTTTCACCTCTCCGGTTTAGTTATTCTGAGTGTCTTGATCATTTGATGTTATAACTAGTTGTTCTATTCCACCTAAATTAATGTCTGCTTCCTTCTGCCAGCTTTGCTCCCTCCCCAACCTGTTCTTTTGCATGTGCATGCTAGTTCTTACCTTGATCGCTTTTAGAACTTGAACTTGGAAGTTTGTGTTTATGGTCACCATCTCTTATCCCTTCTCTTCATGTCGCTTTTTTTTTCAGTCGAACTGTCTACTGCAATTCTAAGTGTTCCCTAATAAATTACTTTCTCGATTTAGATGTCAGTGTATTTGTATATAAAACAAATGATACCAGGGATGTTTTGTTTTGTTTCGTGGTGCCAGGGATATTTTGGTAAAGCTTTATTGCAACATTTACTTCTTTTCTATTTTTTATGCCATGTGATTCTGATAACAAACTGTTGCTCTAAAACATTCTAACTTGCATGTGTATGTTTGTAGATAGCTATTTAGCACTTTGTTACTGCACTTTATAATTTGCCATGGTGAAATTCATCTGAGCTGCCTTTCACATTTAGTGGTAAGTGAAAATATATCTCAGTTTCTAACCCAAAGCAAATATCAGTCTTATTTTTCTATTCTTTTAAACATTTCTTCCTCATAGCATTGTAAAGAATATAAGCCCATTTTCAAAATTCGTGTGCTAATTTAAGAACTTATTTATGCCCTCATAATAGACTTCCATTCTTTTCCTTCGAGTAAGAATGCAAAACTAAACATGCAGTTGATAGGCATATTGTAAGATACATAACTAAAGATATCTTAAAATACTGCCACTTCTTTAATTCCCTAGTCTTGTTTCCTCTCACTGAAACAACAACAGCAGCAGCAACAACAAACTTTCAGAAACCTATACTTCTGTGGTGAGGAATTGTCAAAGTACAAATTTTACTTTTCTTGAAGATAGAAATCTTGTAATAGTTATCTCACATGTTTTCAGTTTGTGTGAAGGATTTCTCTTTGAATAACATTTTCTTAGCACAGTGGTGAAAATGGCATGGAAATATAGTCAGAATTGTGACTGCAACGTAATGGTTGCTTCTTTTGATGTTGATATAAGTTCACCATTCTTTCAAACAGTGGCCTTGATTTCATGTGGCCTCCTTTGACTTTTTAGCTCAAGGTTTAAGATTTGACTCATTGAAATCAAAGCGCCACAATGCTCTGAAGGAAGGTTTGTATACAGAGGACTTGGCCAAACTTGTTTATCATGATCTGTAGCACTGTAGAACTGTCCTCCCGTCGGTCATCAATTTTCTCGAGCAGGCACCAGTAATGATTTCATTGGGAGATTTGTTGTTACTGGTTTCGGCATATCAAATATGCCACAGGGAGTTTACCAGGCTCTGCCGTGCGGGTGGATACTCTCAGCAGATTGCCGGGCTCTCTGAGAGGGAGGTAAGAATTGAACCCGGGTCGGCCACATGAAAGGCAAATGCCCTACCTGCTGTGCTATCACTAGAATAAGTAAGTCTTAACATTTTTGCCATTACTGTATTATATAACTGAAAGCCTGTGGTAGAAGAAGTGGAATGATAGAATATGAGGTTCACTTCATTGTCTGTGGATCAAGTACTTCACCTTCCCACCCAGGAAAAATAAAAGAAGACTTTGGTGTAACAGTGTACTTATGTCACTTCTTTTATTTAAGGTAAAACATTCAGTAGTCCTGTTTGAAAAGAATTTTCATAATACCTTAATTAGTGATTATTAATGAGGTGATTCATTTTTTAAGTTTTTAAGATTTTCTCAGCTCTGTGATTCCACAATAATATCCTCCATTCTTTCAAATAAAGTAATTTTTTATGATAACTACATTTTCAGGCACATTTTCTGAAATATATATAATATGCATGCCAGTATAATAAGTGTCTATGTACTTTACACCCTACTTCAGCTATTACCGGTTTATGAAAAATCTTATCTAGCAAATTACCCCTCTTTCTCCTAGTACCATCTTGGAGTGATTAATACATATTATATTTTAAACATAAGTATTCAGTGTATAGTTATATAAGTTATAAGCACTTGAGGAAAAGCTACAGTTTTATTATGTTTTAAATTAATATTAGTTCTCTAAATTAATATTAGTTCTCTATAAATTAATATTAGTTCTCTATTTTCAGTAAGTATGTAGTCAGGGTTACCACCTCTACTTGTTTTATAAATGCTTATAAATGTTTCAACATTTTTATAATTTTAATTTAAATACTTCTCATGTTTCTTCCTTTTCTTTCTTGATATTTTATTCTATGAAGAGGCTACTTTGTTTCACAGATATCATTTTCCACATCTTAAATTTTTCTGATGACTATGTCACAGTTGTGTCAAGTTCATTTTTTGTTTCCTTGAACAAATCCTTGGATCTAGAGACTGTATCGTGTTAGAGAAATGATTTGGAGGGCAGGAATGTATTATGTTTTCTTATTGGTTGACAGTGTTAACTTTTCTCTTTGTGATAATCACAACAGCAGCTGATTGATTCAGTTAATTAACCTGTGCATGTTTTTTTTAATAGAATGACTAATAGAGGTGGAAGAAATGTTTGTTGTCTATTATAGTTTAATAAAAATATACAGTGCTAAAATATTTTCTTACATATTGAGAGAACAAGAAATAATAAGTTACCAAATACATGCGTTGGCTGTTCTCACCATTCATCTTTCTGATCTTTTTATTATGATGTGTCATCATTGTAGTAATTCCTAGATAAGACATTGAAACACATCAACCACAGTTTGTGTTGGTTAAGTGGCCTTGAATAAAGTATTCTTGTGAACCCTCATTTTCATAGCTATTGTGGTCAGATATATCACATACAATAAATATGCCTAACACCTTAGCCTTTTCTGGTTTTTAATATGCAAGGAATATGTGGGTCTGCATCTTTTTGTTGCATTTTATAATCATATTATTCTCTCCTATTATAAATGAGATACTTGAATAATGTAGGTCAAATTAGACATATCTTCGGGAATTACCTATATGGCAATTTTAGCAAAGTCTGTTCTGTGACTCATAATTTAACCAACTCACATTCCAAGTGTACTTTAGCTAGTGACTGACATAAATAACTTAAAATAAGGAAACATTGAGGGCTTGGAGCAATAGTACAGTGGGTAGGGTCTTTGCTCCTTGCCTTGCACATGTCCGACCAGGGTTTGATTGCTGGCTTCCCATCTGGTCACCAAGCCCCACCAGAAGTTATCTGTAAGCCAGGAGTTAATGCCTGAGCACCTCTGAGTGTGGCCCAAAACCCAAAACAAACTAAAAAACAAAACAAGGAAACATTTCTTCCTTTCACCCGTCGAGTTTCTATGATTCATTCCTATGACATAAGTAGCTTTTGTTTAACATTTTATTTGGTTTCTCTTAATTTTACCCCTATCCACACCAATGAATGTGCACACCACTCCTTGCTATGAATTCCTAATTGTTTTTAATGGATGAATCTCTTGCTGATACTATCCTCATGGACCATTTTTAAAAAATACATTGCAATTTTTATGACTTATTTTTATTCAATAACATTTGTTGGGTATCCACTGCAATTCTTTGTGTACACAAACATTATTTTCTGGGCTGACATACATGGGTATATATGACTCAGAAAATGAGATTATTTTTCATGTTTAGATTAGAAGTGGATTTCTGTTTCAGTACTTCCATTTTCTAAGGTTTTGCCTAAGAATAACACTACCTAAAACTGTTCTTATTTGCTTTAGTATATAATTGCATGTCTGTAAATAAAAGAAATTTGGCAGTACACTAAAATTTTTCATCTTTGAAATGTTTTTGGATGTGTGTGGATCTACCCACATGCATTCACACCCACGGACTCACAAATTTTAAAGTGTGTTATATAATTGTTTTAAATTTTTAAAACGTGCATTTTGTAAGTCAGATATTAAGAATTTGATGGTGAATGTTCAACAGTTCTCATTTTGAAATATTTACATTTATGTAGTGCATTAAAAATAGTGTTATTTGTACAATATTAATAATTGAAATAAACACAGTAGTGAACATCAAATAAATTATGAAAACAAAGATAATTTAATAACACAGCTTCATTTTTAATCACTTAAGGGAAAGTCCTCAATTAAAAATAAGCTAAGTATTTTTTCCTAGAATTTTCAAAGAAACAACCTTTATCTTTCTCAAAAAATAAAAACTTTTTATTGTTCATGGACTCAGAGTTTCATTTAAATTAAAATGACTTCCCTTTATATATTATTTTATTGAAAAATTGTGAACAGCTTTCTTCTTTCAATGTAAGAAGTTTATAGTTCTGACATAAACTTGCAATGGATCGTTTAAAGAGGTATACATTTTCTTTCTGTGTCTCAGTCATTGAGTTATTAAAAATTAGTGCTAGTTGAAAAACAGTAATATGCTGACTTAAAAATAAGTATAATTTTTCTTGATCATGATCAGGAATTAGTTAGTGTAGTTATATACTGCTTGAGTAGCAGTAGTAAAACATGGATAATTTCAAAGTTTTAAGTCCCTGTGACCTAATTTTTTGTATGTTTTATTCAAGTAACATTAGTTAGAGATTTCACAATATTTCAAAATAACGAGTATTCATGAAGCATCATTCTGAAAAATACATCATGATATACTGGGAATTTTATGAGAATAGTAATATGTAATTCAGACCTTGAAAGAAATAACAGTTGATAGAATAAAGAAAAATATCTTTTAAATTATTGGCGATCAAAATCAAGGAATGTTTATTATTTTCCCAAAATGATTCTCAGTCAAATGGAATAGAATTGAGAGCCAAAAGATAAACCCTCAGATATACGGATAATTAATCTGATAGCTTGGTACATGAAGGGAAGCAATGAAAGCCTTTTCAACAAACATCAGTGGGGAAGAAGAAATTTAAAGTTGATTCAGGACTTGGGGGTCAGAACAGAATGCATAAGCTACGTTGAGGAAAAATGCAGTTTTCTGCAAGACACAGATCTCAGAAGTATTTTGATGATTTGACTTATCTTGACAATGAAACTAGTGATGAAAAATTATTTTTAAAACTAGTTAAAATATTTGTTAATTAATTGGGGCTTTGAGACAAATTTACCATCTGGGTTTAGAAAGGATACTACAGTGGGTAAGGTTCTTGCCTTGCACCCAGCCAAACTGAGTCATACCCAGGCACCACTTATGGTCTCCTGAGCCCCACTAAGAGAGATCCTGAGTGCTACAACAGGAATAAGCCTTGAACACAGTGCCAGCACAGTTGCATGTGAACCAAAATGAAAACAAAGATCATCTGGTATCATATTTTGCTTTGTGATAAAAATTTTAAAGTTTGAAATACACTGTAGCACTGTCTTCCCGTTATTCATCGATTTTCTCAAGCAGGCACCAGTAACGTCTCCATTCTGAGACTTGCTGTTACTGTTTTTGGCGTATTGAATAGCTATGCTATTGCTCTGACCCAATCCAAAATGCTCTGGATTCTCTTCAGATCATATAAAGTTTTAAATATAAATACAAAATATACACTGTTCTTAAATATAATGCAACTCATAATATTTTGTTTAGGTGATTCTGTGATTTATAGTTATTCTGCAACCACAACAAAAGTATTTCACAAAAGTCAGATATAATGTGTGTTAGTAGCAGATACTGAAAAAAAATTAAATTTCTCAAAGTTGAAAAGTTAAACTTTATAGAAGTTGGATAGTACTGGGATTAATCTTGCATGCACAGACCTTGGTTGGATTGTTGTACTCCATGGTCCCAGGAGCATTGCTGCACGTGGCCCTGAAGGACTCCAGCACAGCCAGGGTGTTTCATGTAATCACTGATACCACATGGCCTAAAGCAGTATCATATCTTTGAACCCTCATATTGAAACACTGTCCTGGTTAGCCAAGAATCATCAGGATGGGTTCACAGGTCTCCTGAGCAGTATAGAAGGAAAATTTTTACTCAATTAAAATTATTTGTCCATATCTGCATGGACATTTCAGCAGCAATTTGGTTTGGAGACCATATCCAGTGATGCTCGGGGCTTACTCCTGGCTCTCTGCTTAAGAATCACTCTTGGTGGCGCTCTGGGGACCATATGAGATGCCGTGAGTAGAACCTGAGTGGGCTGTGTGTCAGACAAGTGCTTTATCTATCAGACTGTTGCGTGAATATTCGGTCAGTCGGAGGCACAGAGATAAGACACGTGAGAGGAATGTAGAAGCACGGAGTGCCAAGGCTCACTCAGGAACTGTGGCAAAATGCAGCCTTTTGCAGTCTCCTTTTATTTGCTTTTTTTCTCTTGTACATCAATGGTGGATTGCAGCAAGGAGAATCATTAACAAGGGGACCAGAGGTTACAATATAAGCATACCTCCTCAGGACATAAAAGTATACATTGTGCTGTCAACTTTCTATCTGCAAGCTATGGGGAGGAATGAATGTATGGCCAGATATATAGGTTTCAGAGCCATTACCCCCACATACCTGAGGTATATAGCATGCAGGAGAATGTCCACTTGTAAAGATTAAACATATCTAAGGTCTGTGAGAGGGGGTATTGTTTCTTTGTACTGCCAAGAATAATGTATTACTAGGTGGGCACAAGAGAGCATGCTGTACCTATTCAGATTAATCAGACTTACAAGCTTCATCTCACCCTCTTAATTCAAAGTGGGGTCCTGGTTCTGCTTCCTGTTTGCAGGGCAGTGTAGGAGGACTCGTCCTATTGATCTGGTTAGGTACCAACACCATACTGTCTCTTGGCCCCGGCATAACTTCTTTTCTGGACCACACCTAGCAGTGTTCAGGGTTTTTTCCTGGCTTATGCTCAGGAATCATTCTTGGCTATGCTGGAACCATAGAGGATTGAACCCAGGTAGGTTATATGCAAAGCAAATGCTCTAACTGCTATACTATCTCCCTGGCATATCAGAAGAAATTTGTACTCTATTATTTTCCAGATATGGTCAATATATAGACATATTTACATAATTTAATGATTGTCTCTAATATTAGATACATGATCACCAGAATATATGATAACCATGTCGAGAATACTCTTTTAATGTTAGTCCTGCATACGAAATGCCAAAATGCATATTATATGTTTGTTATATTACATTTTAGCACTCTGAAAAATGCTATTTTCCACAGGAAATATCCTATAGAAGATTATCTTCCACTTACAGCAGATATTTTAATCAGAATAGTTAAATTACATTTGAAGTTTTTATATATTGTGGTTTATTGGTTAATTTTCAGGTAGCCACTGATTATTTGGACATTATTTTTGTGAAATAAAATAATTTTATTTAGGAAACGAGAGTGTGTGAGCTAGCGAGGGAGAGAAAGAGAAAAAGAGGAGGGAAAACACCACAAAAAAAGAGAGAGGGGAAAAAACACCATTAGTAAAGAAAGGAATTACACATTCCAGTTTTGGATATGGGATATTCCGAAATGGAATGAACTTGTTTGTAGGATAACATTGGTTTGTCCTTTCTGTCTTGCCACAGAGAACTCAGTTTTTTTGGGTTACTCCCATCACAGTGCTCCAATTTCTCTGTTTATTTATAAATTCTTTTTTTTTTTTTTGCTTTTTGGGTCACACCCGGTAATGCTCAGGGATTACTCCTGGCTTTGCAATCAGGAATCACTCCTGGCGGTGCTCGAGGGACCATATGGTATGCTGGGAAACGAACCCGTGTCAGCCGTGTGCAAGGCAAACATAAACACCCTACCCTCTGTGCTATTGCTCCAGCCCCATGTTTGTAACTTTTTTGTGTGCTC